GTGATTGTACACTAAGAAAAGTCTCTCCACATTCTCCCAAAGACCCTGAATTACACATTCCCATTTGGAAATAATGGAAGTCCAAACAAGCAAAACAGATTTGGGGTGTACATTTGTGTAACTGATTCAAGTTACAAGAGGCCAGATTCATGGGCCTGCAACCTGTACAAGGTCCTGAACTCGGAGGGGCCCTCCCTGTGCTTGGTTTAATGCTCTGCTGTCACTGTCATGAAATTCTTGATAATTTGATTTTTGACCTTGTGAATTGTAAGTGAAGTTAAATGCGACAGTGGAGGAAGCACATGAGCAGAGGAGATAAAACATGTGTGTCCATCATTCCTTAGCTCCCCATCTGCAGACAGCATTCTCCACGTCCCATGAACACAGAATTCCAGTGGGTCTACAACACCAGGGAGTTCAGCGACATTCAAAGCTAGTGCAAGATAAGTGTGCTACATTTTTTTTTTTTTTTTTTTTAAGTCTTGATTGAATCTGTTACAGTATTGCTTCCGTTTTATGTTTTGGTTTTTTGGCCGCAGCCATGTGGGATCCTAGCTCCCCTGCCAGGGATTGAACCCGCATCCCCTGGCATTGGAAGGTGAAGTCTTAACCACTGGACCTCCAGAGAAGTCCCCAAATGTGCTACATCTATGATTGAGTAAATGGGGGCACTGAGAGCCCCGCGAGGCCATTCTTTCCTTTGGAACGATAACTTGCTCCTAATGCAAATAGAAGGCAAAGTTGTTTAAAAAACACAAATGACCAAGAAACCCTATCATATTCTTTCCTCCTCCTGTTACCTAGCCAAGCACTTATGCTGCATATTTTGACATAGAAGAAAAGGGAAAGATCGGGCAACCCATAGTCCCTTTTCCATTCAGTCCTTACTTACTCATCAGTAAGTCAAAGGTAGAGAATGTTGGTTGAATGTGCATGAATCAGGAAGTGAAATAAAAACATTTGAAATACTTTTTTTTACCATTTCCATTGTTCTGGGAAGAACAAAATACTAAGTGTGTATAAGCTACAAAATATGAATTGTATAGTTTCAGTGATTTCACAGTATGAGTTAATTTGCACTTAATACAATTATATTTGTTCTTATATTTGCACTTAAAATTTGCATTGCACAGTATAAAAATGAATGATAAAATTCATTCAACTAATTAAAAATTTCAAAAAAATTTACATTAAATAGCAAATAAAAACCACCATAACAAGTCAAGGGAGAGGTTGAAAAAGAAAGGAAAAACTATTTTGGTACATATTTTAGTACTTTTAATGGCTCTCTTGTCCTGTTTTTTAAACAAAGGATCCCACATTTTCATTTATCAGTGGGCCCTGCAAATTACATAGCCAGCCCTGAAGTGGGGAGAGCAGAAAATGATGATGAGAACGTCAAACTCTAAGCAATGACAGGAAAACATTTAAACGACTTTTTCTTCAAACAATTACAAAAAAGTGTTAAAACTACTCGTTCTAATAGAATGATATACTTGAAAAAGTTCTCAATTATCTGCATCATTTAAACACAGCACCTTTGTTTATTTCCTATGCATTTGGCAGTGGGCTTCTGGTTATTCCAACCCAGTGTGTGCAGTAACAAGGAGTCCTACACTAGGGGGCAGCAGCTACCGTCCATCAACCTTGTGGGGATCCAACGCCGCAGGATTAGGGTAATTCCTTACTTGAAGAGACCCGGAGAAAATGAAGATACTCACTACCGAGGAAGTTGGCTGTTTATCTTTATATTAATTTGCCTTGCTGCATTAGATTTGAAAGCGTATGAGCCTCTTACTTCAAGGACTTAAAGTGTTTCTTTGCCAAAAAAAGAAATAATAGTAAAACGTATTTTATTTGCTGGCACTCCCTGACTCATTTCTAAAGTGACAAAGTAACAATAGTTTGAAAGTTTTAAACTTAGTTTCTCTGTAAAGCCTAGCAGCCATTGGTCATTTTTATCTACTATGGATTTGATCAAAAGGAACAACTCATTTCACTGAGGCCACTTAGCAGCTGTCAAGTGATAATTTTGTAACTCATGAAGGGTGTGCAGATTTCAGAGGGAAACTGACAAGACAAGGGATTAGTAAACCATTACAAAGTCCACACTCACTCAACTTGCCTTGAATCATTGAAGAATTAGAATGTCCTAAATAGAAACAAGAATCTAAAGTCCGTATTTTTAAAGGAAATAATTTGCAAAGATGACTGTATTTGCCTAGATATGGAAGATATTCAGTTAGCCTGAAGTGAGAATGGCATTGCCCTACAGATGAGTTGGCTCAAACATATATATTGTATTCAATTGCTCCAACAAGATTTCCCAAATAAAAATTTTATAAAAAGTGGATTGAAAGTTCAATGAAGCAATATACTAGGAAACCACTGTTGGGTATTCCAGACTCTTTGGCAAGACAGTAAAAAAAAAAGTATCCCAGCTTATTACAAACCTCCAGGGAGGTGCTTCTCAACGAAGGCGGTTCTACCCACGAGGGGCATTTGGAAATTTGCAGGGGTGTTTCCAGTGGTCCCAGTGATCAGAGGCACCATGTAACACAGTGAAGAGCAGGGATGGTAAACCTTCCACAACGTACAGAGCAGCTGCAAACAATGAAAAAGTATCATCACATGTGTCTCACAGCGTTTAACGCCCTGCCTTAAATTTACTGGTGAAAAAATTGTGTATAATTTTATGAGCCTAGAAACTAAGTCTCTGAAGATCATGTCACCAGCAACATCTCGGCTTGTGGAACTGAGTCCTCAATAAAATGCACTGGCAGGGACTTCCCTGGTGGCGCAGTGGTTGAGAGTCCGCCTGCCGATGCAGGGGACACGGGTTCGTGCCCCGGTCCGGGAAGATCCCATATGCCGCGGAGCGGCTAGGCCCGTGAGCCATGGCCGCTGAGCCCGCGCGTCCGGAGCCTGTGTTACGCAGCGGGAGAGGCCATAACAGTGAGAGGCCCGCGTACCGCAAAAAAAAAAAAAAAAAAAGCACTGGCAACAGTTTGTGTCAGTAACTCTTGACTCATGTTGATTCTATGTGTACATTTAAATATACCTTTTCAGTCTTCATTCATAATGTCAAATATAAGAAGAATCAACTTGCAGATTTTCCTACATCTCTTAAATTCCAACATTTTATCAATGTAAGTATATGACTACTTCATTATGTTTTATAGTAGAGCTATATTTATGTATTTTCATACATATATTTCTTTCCCTTTATTTCTCCTTTATATTACAGTGAAGGTATTATATATTTTTTAAATTATGTGTATTATAGACTATATTTTCTATGGATTTTGTTTCAGGGTAGTAAAGGAGGATAACAAAATATTTGTCATAAAAAGGAGGCTTTGAGTCTCATAGGTTTGAGATCCAAGGCTCTAAGGGTTCCCCTTCCATGTGTAGCTACCTCACCATCCCTCCCTCCCTCCCCACCCTACCCTTGATGTTTTCACAGAAGGGAATAGTTAGTAACAAGAAATGGTTAGTAGCTAGCCCATGAACAGATTTTTTTCTGATTAATAATTTTTTAAACCAACACTTGTAAATTAAGCATTCTCATATGATATGATATAAATATAGTATTGTGAAAAGTACATATTAATTAATTAATTTTGTTCATTAAGTATTACTAAGTAGCTACCAGGTGTTAAGACATTTTGCTGTTAAATAACGTCTAACTAGCAACAAAATCATTGCTAACCTAAAGAAAAGCTCTTTCTGGAAAAACAAAACAAAACAAAAAAAAAATGGATTTAAAAGGATATTACTATAGGTGACGAAACAACTGACTGGGTGAAATTTTCCTCTGGATATATTGGAAGCATTTAATTTGTATCCTATGCATATTAGGCAGGCTAGGTCTCAATAAGCCAAAATCAGAATAGACATGCAAGAAAAAAATAAGGATAAAACTTTAATAAGATTTCACATTAGGGGGATAAAGCAATTTTTAAGGGAAAAAACTCATTAATAAAATGATGATACATTATTTTTGACACAAATATACATTTTTTAGAGTCAGAATTACATGACTGTAAAATTAGTCCAGTTTTTAAAGTTCTTTTATATGACTGTTTGGAATCAAATTCTTTATAGTAAATTTAGTGAGAGAAAGAAGTAGTCTTCAGCAATTATTAGAGACAAATTAAATGTTACTATGGGGATTTTTTTTTTTTTTTTTATCCCTCTGACTTGTTGCTAAAATCAGGTATGGACTAGCAAAGGGCAAAACAAGCCTAGGGAAGGGTGGCCGTGTGACGAGGAGCAAGTTGCTTAACCTCTGGGTTTCCTTATATGGTAGCACCTACCTCATAAATTTAATAAATTAGTACATGTTACGTGCTTAGCAGAGTGCCCAGCATATATAGTAAGAGACACGTAGCAAATAGCCACTGTCATATCTCTTTTCCACACCAGAAACATGAAGATTGTTCGTGGGAACAATTGCCTAACTCAGGAAGAGCCATCGTGACCTGACTAGACTCAGGTGACTTGCCTAGCAGTTTAGGGTTCCAGATATGAGACGCCAATCAGTCTGAATGTAATTAAGGGTGTTTGACAGCCTGGGACTCCTAGGATGTTCCTGACTAAGGGATGTTCAATTGCGCTAGTTAGAAAAACGGAAGATCTGTGTGGATTTGAGATATTGGAGTGTGTCACCCAGCAACAGACTGAAGTTCCAAAGAAATCCTGAATTATCTCGTTAGTGAGGCAACTTCCTGTTAGGTGGCTATTGACTCTGACCACAGTGAACCCAAGAACTCATGATCCTCTGACCCAGAAAGACACTCACGTGAGAACTGATTAGATGGCAAGACACCAAGAAAACTAGTTTTACAACCTATCCAGTGGCTGCATGTTGCTCACATTGTCTGGGGCACAGGAAGGGCAGGGCCACTGCACCTCACAGGGGGCCGCTGCATAGAGTTCACACGTGGGAATGGGCTGCAGAGCCCTGTGCAGCGCTGTGGCCCCAGAAAGGGGGCCCACCATCCCCAGTGGAGGCCACATCTGTCTTCCGTCCTTCCGGGCTTCCCACAGCAGTTCATGGCCACAGAATTCACCCAGAAAGAAATGCAAATACAGGAGGTTTTAGATTGTGTCATTTAATCCTTATAGCTATTCTAGCTCATTAAAATCATCCTTTTTACAGGCAAGGAAACAAAGAATTAGAGAAGTAACACCTAAGGTCATGATGCTGGTAAGTGAGACTCAAACCAGACTGCTTCACTTCAGAGTCCATGCTCTTGACCTCTATGCTAGACTGCCTCCTAAGAACCAGCTACAACTAATGTTTGTTTAGCATTTGAACGTTCACAGAGCTCCAAACACTCGTGGAGCTTATACCATCCCCATTTCTTTACATAGATAAGGAAACAGACAGAAAGACATGTCAGCGATTTTTCCAAGTTTATGCAGTTAGGTAGTGGAGCCAGGATTTGCACCCCAGGCTTTTTGAATCTCAGCAGAATTTACAAGTCAAATACTCAAATGGAATGGGGTGAGCTATGCTGAGCACCCAGCTTAAGGGGAAAGAGTTCTGAGGCCAAGACCGTAGCCTATTTTTGCCTTTGCTTTGCCTGTCCAGACAACAATTTTACATGGATAGAATTACCTGATGATAACCTGTATTCTGATTTGTACGTTCTAGATACATTACTTTTCTCTAGATGATATATAGGATTGGTATAATCTGGACATGTCTTGTCTATTGAAGATGAGTATTGGAGAGAGCGCTTTTAGATTTAAGCAATATCCTTAAAGTAACATGTCAGGAATACTCCGCTCCACATGGTAATCCTTCCAGGGTTAGTGAGCAAGTACTATCGGTCCAACATGCCAAGACTCAGAAGAAGGTCACAAGATGAGACTCTTCCACCGCACCCCCAGGACAAAAATCTCTGAATTGTGGGGTGGGGGGGAATGCCATTTTCAGACTCATTCACTACTGTGATCTAATAACCTAACGCTTACTATGGATTTCAGAAGGTCTGGTGAGGGGAGAGTTGCTGAATCCATAGGGGATTGTCCAGCATGAGAAAGGCAATAACCAGGAGCAATCTCTGTTAAAGTTGATCCCCTGAGCTGGTCTTGAGCCTCTGTGGTGCCTGGTCTCATAACACTGGCAGGCACCACGAGGAAGTTTTGTGAGCTCCATGAGGTCTGCAATCATAGGGACCTTAGTGTCTAAAGGAAAAAGAGAGTTATGAACATCAGTTACCTCATACCCATTTCACTACATTTTTCTCCCTACAGGGACTGAATATATTCATCTGGAAAACTATTTTTTCTCAGCTATAAAACATGATACAATGTTTCATCAGTTTATCCCTTTAGGCTCTATTGTAAAATGTATTTAACGTTATCTAGTTAATTTATTATCAATTTATAATAAATGTAGAGTATACTATTCTCTCAAGATAGAACTTCCTCAAAAAATATTTTCAAACCATGAAATAAAAGGTAATGCAATGCTTCTCTCAACTGCGTAATAAATTGTCAATACCACCCAATATTACCTACTTCCAATATTAGAGACATGAAAACTTTAGAAGGGCCATTCATTTTATGAATGAATGAGTGAATGGATGAATTAACTAATTTAAAAACATATTTACTGAATGCTAGGCATGGGATATCCGGATTAATAATGAACCAAAACCCAATAGCCCACCTGGTCAATAGAATCAATATAATTTCATGAGCAGGAATGAGAAAGGTTAAGTACATCAGAAGTATTCTAAGTGAAGACATTTGGGGAAAATTCAAAGATAGAATTTAGGAGACACTATTTTTGCCCTATTCTGGTTCAATTACTTTGTGCTCTGTGTGAGCTGGAGAGCACACGTTCTCCCCGTGTGAGAGGAAGGAGGCGACATACTCTCCAAACCAACCCCATGTGCTTTGGGCAGAAAGTATCAAGGTTAAGGCAAAACAACTACAGTTTATTGTAAACCTAGATCCAAACTGAAGGAAAAAGGTTCCTGAAACATGCCTTGCATGCTTGCTAACGGTGCTTTGGAGCTTGACAGATGTAAAGATGGGCAATTCACTTTTTACCTTTGCCAACGTACATATTCCCCAACAACCAGAAAGAAGAAATGACTAAAGCCGCAAATGTGGGGAGGGGAGTGAGTATTAAAATTCCAGAGGTCTTGCAGGCTGATGCTAAACCCTGTGAGGAAAACCTGCACGTTAGGCTTCTTACCACAACGAATTTCCCAGAAAAGGAACGCTGCTCTCCAAAGGCAGGCGTCAGAGAGTTTGCTGGTGAGAAAGGAATGGAGTCACACTGACCTTCAAAGTGGCCAGGACCGTGGCACGCCAACTCACCAACCTGCTAACCCATCCCTTGAAACCGGGTAATCTGGGTTCCAGCCGGGTCAGCTGTATGAGAAGAGGCCTTCATCAACAGGTAAAGGGGCCGCACAGCAAGGGTGATCCAAACGACCGCTCTGATGAATGGGGCTGGGTAGTGGGCGACAGTGGCCTGAGCACCTGATTTCGCAATGTCCTAAATTGCTCAGGACTCTAAAATTAGAATAAAGTTGATAAATTCACACATATCATCCTCATTTCTCTAGAGACAGATGCTACTTAAATTAGGTAGAAGTAAATGGAATGGCTAATATTTACCCTATTTGAAAAGTCGTTTAAGGAAAAGTGTATTTAAGGATCCCCATTAGTTCTTAATTCGGGTTATAAATCTTGAGTAAGAAAATCTGCTCATCACATAGTATCAGTGGGTACGTGACGTCCACATGACTTAACAGCTGGTGATGTCAACCTTGATCACCTAGTGAAGGTGGTGCTTGCCAGGGTTCTTCACTATAAAGTTACTATTCTTTCTTTCCATACTAACTTGGGACGTGAAGCCTAAGCCCAGTCCACACTCAAGGGGATGTTTTGTTCACTATTTATTTTGAAAACATTTCAAGCTTCTAGAAAAGTTAACAAAAATAGTGTGATGAATTCCCGTATACACTTCATCTGGATTCTCCCCAATAGCATTTTCCACATATACTTTATCAATCTCTCTCTCGCTCTTGCTCCCTCTACAAATCTACGAATTAATACTATTTGTATTATTATTGTTTTGACTAAACCATTTCAGAGTAAGTTGTAGACAGCTTTATCCCAAGTACTTCCGCATGTATATCCTAAGAACAGGAGTTCTTTCATAACCACATTATAATGATCAATTTCAGGAAATTTTACATTAATACAATACTATTATCAAATATATAGTTCAGCGTTTCTGCTTTTGTCTATGATGCAGTGTCTGGTACTAACCCTCTTGCTTTAACTATAAAGCTAGGCAAAATGTCTAAGGCAAGTGTTTTCAGACATTGGAGAAGCAGCAGCACAGGACAGAGCCGGCAACGCAAGACTGCAATCAATCCCTGTAGGCAGGGAAACCTAAGAGGTGAGCCTCATGACTCCTGGCTGTCTGCCTGGGGAAATTCTCCTGACTGCAGTGTAGCAATCTGGAATCCAAGCAGAGAGCGGCAGTCCCTCTGAGCTAAGGAGGAGGAGATCAGGGGTTAGGGCAGCTGAGCGCTGGAATCTGCAAGGCAGGGCCTCAGAGAGACAGGAGCTGTGCAGTTTATATAAATATCATCATGAGTTCATTCTAATCCCTCTAACTCTGATCTAGTATCACAAGGCTTTCCCTAGTTTTCTAGTCCATACTTCTGGCTCTTTTTTAGAAACCCAGAGCAGACTGGCAAGGTAAGTCACCACTTGCATTGTCAAGTCTCTCAGCTGAAGAAGAGTGTGCCCGGGGTGAGGTGCCAAAAAGCGGGACATGGGGCAGCCATCACTTGTGTGAACCCCTGAGAATGAATGATAGAAACCCCAGAAAATAATGGATTTGTTGAGAGAGGGCACCAAACATAAGTAGAAATTTAGGGGGTACATGATAACATGTTTGTCTTCTAGAGCTCCAATTATTATATTATTTAACCAAAATTCCAAGGTATTTAGTTGTAGTTTATTTTTTATTTAATTCAATAATTACTTCAACCCAGCTTCTTCATTTTTGAACTCTTTCTTTTGATTCATTTCTTTGTTGTCTGGTGTCCATCTTTCAGTAATTTTTTCAGGACAGGTTCATGGATTTGGTTTTCCTTGATTCAATGATTTTCAGCCTTAGCTGTATATTGTAATGACATTGGGAGCTTCTGAAAAACTGGCCATCCTCCCAGACCAATTCTGTCAAGTTCTCTGGGGGTATGATCCATGCACGTTTTAAAAAAAATCCCTCAAGTCGTTCTAATGTGCAGACAAATATCTCCAATCTCAATTAAATTACATAAACAGGCTTTCTCAGAAAAAAGAAAAAAAAAAAAAGAAGACCAAAGAAAATTGCAAGCAAAGTTCAAAGAAGCAGCCTAGAAAACACCCGAAAATCTGGTCAAACGCAGATTCTGATTCAACAGCTATGGAATGGCAACTGAAATTCTGCGTTTCTAATAAGCTCCCAGATAATGCCAATGCTGTTGGTTCATTGGTTCTGGGTAGCTTCTGGGTAGCAATGGTACTCCTCTGTCTTCTGTAGTAAATATTGCTATGGAGGAATCTGGAGCTACCTGAACTTTTTAACCTTTTTTTTCCCTTTTGTGTAGCTTGATTCTTATTCCTGGATCTCCATATGATTCTCTTCTTTGAAATTCAGATTTTGGTAGGTTACCTGTATTAACAAACAATAGAATGAAAATTCCCACTTTGATATTACATTTGCTTCTGAATTTTGTTTTGTTTTATTCTAGTGACCAAATCCACAGCAGTTCCAGCTCTTTCTGAGGATGTCCCATAGGATAGGCATGATGCCTGGCCTACATAGTGGGTGAGATTCCTGCTTCCTCTTTTGCACATTCATTCTTACAGTAAAATGCCCATCACTTGAGGTAATTGGAATAAGCTTGTTCCTTGCAACCAAAAGAAGTTAATTAAAACAATTAGAAACCATAGATTTAAAGATATACAATATGAAACTAAAGATTGCACAGAATGCTGTGTCAAAAAGGCAACATGAATGCAAAATACAAAACAAGTATTTACAGTGATGGTCGGCAGAAGTGGGGCAGGGGCAGAGAAGTTTTCTTAATTTCAGTGTGCTTCTTGCAAATAATTAGACTAGACTGATTGACAGATAATAAATAAGAAAAAATGTAGAAAAGTTATAGTGTCAAAAAGGAATTGAAGAGAGAATAAAGATTAAAATGTGACGCTAAAAGATTCTGGAAGATTTAAAACCAATTAAAAGCTGAAAACTGAGAAATAAGAAAATCTTAAAGGAATAGTAAGGCAAAATTTTAAACCAGGAGAATTATGAAAACTCATAAAACAGAAGTACAACATGGACTATAAAAGAAGCTGACTAAAGATGAGAACAAGAAGATAAAGTTTGAAAGGATACCAGAAGGTTAAAATAACTTGTTAAAATTAAAATAAGAGTGAAGTTATTTATGAAATAATTTTAAACAGATGAAATTCAAAAGAAGAAAAGGTTGAAGGTGAATAGGGTAATAAGGAAGATATAAAATAGAATATGAGAGTAGGATTAAAGTTAAGTATAATTAATTTATGCAGACTTTAATATACCATCAAAATATTTTTTTAAAGGTTTAAAGGTTAGAGGAAAAGAAAATAGCAAAATGTCTCAAAATATACAAGGAATAAGAAAGCTTGGTGCCTATCGTCTTTCCCCAAGGGACAATCTGCTAATGCAGTGTGGTGTCCTCAGGTGGAACCTGAGGGGACAGGCAACAATGTGACACCTTGGACGTGGAGGCTTCCCCATTGCTCCCCTCAGCAAGTGCCAGAGGCCAGCCTCACCAGCAGTGATCAGAGAAGACAAGTAGGAGGTATTAATACAGCAAACTCACAGCTGGACGGCACTGACCTGACCCAGGAGGAACTCCCTAGCCTGCCAGCCACATTCCCTCCTGGATTATCTCCTCCAAATTTAGCCCACTCTCAGAGTCAGGGGAAACTACTCTCTCTATATCAATAACCCATGAAGCATCAGGTGTCAACAGTTGTCTTACGTCTCTAGACAATTTTTAGGAACTGTGGTACAGCCCCCAGATTAAAAAAAAAAAGCGTTTATTCGATAAATGCTTATTGGGCATCTTGCCTGTCCCTGGCAGTGTACTAGACTCCAGGAGTACAATGATGAATGAGTAACAGAACTCCCTTAACAGAGATCCAGACCCACTGTGTGGAAAGGGTAGTGGAGTTTTAACAGTTATCAGTGGCACAGATAGAAGGACTGGCTCTGAGCAGAAGGGCTACATTTCCCTCTGCAGTGGCAGGAAGGGAAGCAAGGGTGTGGGAGGAGGGAGGTAGGAAGGGTGAAAGTTAGGGAGATGATGCCCCATGGTTTGAATTCTCCTGATGAAGTAGGGAGACTGGGGAGATAAGCAGAGGTCTTGAGGTAAGTGGGAGAGAGGTCTGGGAGGGTCATAAAAGAAACTTGAGGAGCTAAGGACAAGTAAACAGCAGCGAGGGCCAAGTGAGGCTGGAGGTGGTGCCCGTCTGAGCAGCAGCAGTGTTTGAGTGCCCAGGTGCGGGAGACACACCCAGCTTATTACAACATAATGTGAAGAGTCCCAGGCGTGACAGGGTAATTTATTGAGACATTGTTGGTGTCTGTTCTCATTGCATTTTTCCCTCCACCCATTTTCAAGAATGACTTCAGGGCTACTTATATCAGGGAAGTTTGGAGTTAAACGCTTGAAGGAAACCTCACATCAGGCCTTTTTTCCCCCCTCTTTAAGCAGAGGTCTCAAAGTGGGCTTCTCCAGGCTAATACTTTGACAGATATGCTTCATTTATAAGGAATAGTGTTTTGAGGTTTTTAAAAATAGTTGTCAACATTTTGAGAGTAGATTTCACATTAAAATCTATAATTCAGCTTCTCCTGGAAAAATCCAACGGCCTGGCAGTCCTGGGCTACCTTTTCACCTGGCTACAATTAGTTGGAGCTGCGTAATGTCTGCCCCTTTTAAGGGGGTACAACCTCCGATTCACTGTGGTCCTTATTATTCTCTGTGGTCTTATTCTCAGCCAACATCACTCATTTAGGTTAACTGCCTGGTCCCTGTAACCCTCTCCAAAGTTGGAGATTATGTTAGGAGGAAGGAATACAGGCAGAAGCAATAAGGCAGTGGGGTCACAAGTCTGCAGTTCCTTTGATGTGGCAAAGGCCCAGGCAGGAATGGGGACTCAACGGCCCCAAGGCCTGGCTCTTCCCGCCTCAGCAAAGACACCCATCCAGAAAGCGGCAAACTTGGATACTGACAATTATCTCAGACAGTCTGAGTATGAACAGGTCCTTTCCTTGTGAAAATCCCAGGTCCTTGTAAAATCCTAAGGAGGGTGGGAGCGGGACAGCCCACAATGCCTGAGATTATTTCCCACCAGCCCTTGGGGAGGTGGCTTGAAGTTAGACTTAATGAGAGAAATAAGGACATAATTTCTTTCACACGCATGTTTGTGGAGTGAGAGTTTAAACAGCCAAGTGGAGATTTAAAGAAAGGGCTAAGAAAACACAAAGCAAAGGAGTGGGTGAGGTTACTTTTTGACTCAGAGAGTTTTGGAAATTTTCACAGAGGGGATGTAATTTGGGCTGAGTTTTGAGAACTGAGTAGGAGACCTCCAAATAAGGTTATTCTACCCAAGGACAAACATTTGAGAGTGCAGAGCATACAGTATTCAGGAATTTGTGGTAGTTCAGTGCAACAAGCGCAGTCGATGCCCATCGTCTGGTTGGGGGCAGTAGGAGAAGGGACAGAGTAAAGGGAAGTGAAACTAGAAGGGAAGTTGAAGCTTTCATGCCTTCTTCATGTAATGGGTTGTTCCTAACTATTGTTTAGTGCACTACTGGTGTTTAAAAAGTTAACTGAGCTGGGAGTGTGGCCAATGCATGGGAAAGGAAGACTGGACCATGACCACTGAGCAGGTTCTTGCAATAACCCAGGTGTGAGATGATAATGCTTGGAACTAGGACAATGATTGTGGGAATGGGGAGGAGAGTTTGGATTTCAACAGCTGTTTATTGAGTGCTTACTGTATGCCAGGCATTGTGCTAGGTGCTGAGCATACACTGATAAACAGATACTGGCTCTTGCCTTGAAGAAGCTTATTGCCTAAGGGACAAAGCTTACCACAGCTGGCAGAGCCGGTGAAGAGCAGAAGCATCTGGGACCTTCAAGCCCTAGTAACATGTGTTGTACATTCCATCAGGGGTTGAATTCAGTTGGTCCCACTGAGTTTCACACAGGTTCAGTGGCCATCTGAGAGCTGAGATACGATCTGTTTTGACACTTACTTCTTCTACAGGTTTGTTCTCTCTGACTCAGGGGATGGAGAAATGATCAGACTCTAATTTTAAATTTCAAAGAAGGTATCTCAGTTAAGTGAACAATTTCTTTTAACATAAGATGTAATCATTTGGACTAAGGTGAAAGTGATATTAACTCTATTGTTAGGGGAACTCTATTAATGCTTAAATACTGTATCTATAATTTTATTGCGACAATAAAATCCAATCAGTTTCCAAGTCACTCCAAGTCTTTTCCCATTTGCAGGTATCAGATGTTAACTGCCTTTGACTCCTTACCACTTGTTGATGTCTGTCACACAGGTGCTCAGTAAGTGTTGGTGAAATGAACTTTAACATGGAAGGGGATGCTTTGAGAGGCCAGTGTTGTGTTGTCTTTGGTGAGGTCATCAAGCTGAAGTGCTTGCCAGAGATTCATTCATTCATCCAGCAAATGTCTGTTGAGAATCAATACATGTTTATTTAAAAAAGGCAAATAAATAAATATTTATTTATTGCCAGGTACCATTCTTGGCATTAGACAAATAGCTGTGAAAAAAGTCCCTATTCATCCTAATGAGACAGACAAGCAATAAACAAACAATATGTCTGTGTATTCATATACATCAGTATATACATAATGTCAGGAGTAATACCTGCTATGAAGAAAAAACAGATCAAAAATAATGATGGAGGGGTGGCATTTTATTTATTGCCTATGGGATGCTCAGGGAGGGCCTCTCTGAAAAAGTGGCATTTGAGCAGAGACCTAAAAAAAAGGTAGAGGTGGGCTTCCCTGGCGTTCCAGTGGTTAGGATGCTGCGTTTTTCACTACAGGGGGCGCGGGTTCGATCCCAGGTCTGGGAAATATCATGCCCGCATGCCCAGTGGCATGGCCAAAAAAAAAAAAAAAAGGTGTGGGTGCAGTTGTAATCAGCTATCCCCCATCTGGGGACTGAGTGTTGCAGGCAGATGGATGAGCAAGTGCAAATATTCTGAGAAAGACCAAGCTTGTCCTGTTAGAAAAGGAGCAGGGAGGCTAGTATGGCTCCAGAGAGTTAAGGGAAGGGAGAGGGGACAGGAGAAAGGGATGAAAATTGATGCCTTTTGCCTGGCATCTTCCTAAGCTCCAAATGAAAAAAAAATCCAGTGCAGAGGGATATAAGTGCTAGCTGTCATAAATAATAATTGATTAGCAAATGCCTGGGAACTTGGGAGGCGTTACTGCAAGTTTTGAGCACCATGATGGGTGATGAATTTGTATGGGTCACTGCTGTATCCCCAACGCCTGGCACATAGGAAGAGCTCGATATATATTTGTTGACTAAATGTTGGAAGTCTACCTTTGCTTTTTCAACTTTCAGAGCGTTATTAATAACTAAGCTGTTTCGTACAAACAGTTTGGGTGGTAGCGAAGTGTTATTCAAACTCAACCTATAGGACATTATGCATACGTATTCATTACAAAGCAAACAGCAAACAATGAATTCATTTTGTGCTTTGTGAATGTCTGTTAGCTCATACCAGTCTGTCTCCAGGGTGGCACTCACTGTGCCCTTTACGCTGGAGAGTTTACAACCACTCTAGGATGTCTTAGCAAATACTGGCACCTGACTTGTCCAAATATTACTGGCAACCCCCGAGATCGCTTTCCATCACATGACGCAAACTAAATCTGCAGAGGGGTAGCGGTGCTTCCCTATCTTTGTAACACTGCTGTCTGCACCCGGTTATCCAAAGGGTACCATGAACTCCAAATTCCTCCAAAGGAATTACTCATTTCAGATCCTTTATAAACATGCACGTTTCCAGACGTGTTACAAAATCAGCCTGCGATCACTTCAAAAAGTGAAAGTGTGCGACTTGATCATTTTTCCTAAGAGAAAGTGTTTCTACATATTTTTTTAAAAATACAACTTAAAAAACCCATCCCTCACCCCTGACTACATTAATTTCCTTCACTTTACGGCACCATGCAGAATCCATCAGGGCCATAAAATCACTTCTTTTCCTTTACACCTTCCCCGTTAAGTCCCAATATATTGACCACAGTTAACTAAATCCCCCAGTGCTTAATTAGTGGGAATTCAATTTGCAAAACTGAGATCAATGAAAGATACTTCACCACACCCACACCTACTGCCAGGGGTTTCTCTAGCAAGACGAGCCCAGGTCAGGCCAGGGTCTGGCCCGCTTCCCGGCGCCGCTGGGTGTGTCACGGTGTGTCACCCCCCCGCCTGTCACTTCCCCCGGCTGCGGCCGGCCCAGGCTTGAAGTGCCCGCCCCAAGGCCCTCCGAGGCGGTTGTCGACCTTCCTCTAACCCGCGCCGGGAGGGCTGCTCGGAAACTGCTGTGTCAGAATGGTTCGAGGAGCACCGAGTCACAGCCGGCTTTAATTCGGGATGAATGACTACCTCGGGCCGGCCCGCTAGGACTCGGCGCGGCAGGGTGCGGCGCAGCTGTCGGGAGGGCGCGTCCCCGTCCCCGCCCCGCCCTGCCTTACCCTGCCCTGCCCTACCCTGCCCTACCCTGCCCTACCCTGCCTTACCCTGCCTTACCCTGCCCTGCCCTGCCCTGCCCTGCCCTGCTTTCGGCCGTAGGCCCTCGGCCCTCCACCTGGCCGCCCTCCACTCGGCAGCCCGCCAGCTCCCCGGAGCCCGTTTCAGGGTAAAGGCGGGGGCAGGGGCCAGTGCGCACGCGCAGAAGGCGGTGCACCAGAGCCTCCCGGCCCCCGCCCCGCCCCCTCTCACGTGCCGCGCAGCGTGCGCCCAGGCATGTGCGGGCGCACGTGACAGCGCCGAGTCCTGCTCAAGCTCCCTCACCCCGCGCCGCTGTACTTTGAACCCGGGCGTGGGAGGGGGCGAGGAGGGAGAGTGGGGAGGGAGGAAGGACAGCCGGGCGGGGACAGGAGGGGGAGGCTGGCCTCCTCGAGAATGATATCATCGGCAGATTTATCGCTAGGCAACCTAAGAATGCTTCTCTCTTTCCAATCCTAGAGCTCCTTGAAGATCTCCAGGCTGGTGACATTATTGCCCTCGGCTTTAATTCCCTCACTGTGCAGCGCTCAAGCGGCGATTTCAGAGCTAGGGTTGGTTTTCCAGTTTTTAGATGAGTACGCTTCAAACACAGAGCTCAGAACTGGATCCTTT